GTCAAAAGTGTCGTAATGACGTAGGTCGTAACAACTGACATTTGCCGTAACTGGTTACGGCAATACGACAGGTTACGGCAGTTACGACAATACGGGGGTTACGGCAGTTACGACAATACGGGGGTTACGGCAGTTACGACAATATGGGGGTTATGGCAGTTACGACAATATGGAGGTTATGGCAATTACGACAATACGGGGTTACAGCAGAGCAACAGGTTACGGCAGACAATAAGTTACTATTACGGCAAAACAACAGTTTACGACAATACAATATATTACCGGTAAATCAGATCACCGCTAAGGATTAAATCAGGTAATCTGTCAAGTTTATTTAAGACTCGTATAGCATCTTGGCCGTCACAAGCACAATATGCATCGAATTCTCTTAAAAGATCTGCTAGATGGATGGATAGCCTCTATAAATATGACATGGCCAAATAATAGCAATTTATTTACAAGAATCGATAGGTTTAAAATGTATTACTGCATATCATTATTATCATCAACAAGTAGGACTTTATATTTTTTCTCATTAATGGAATCATTTATAGAGAAATAAAGGTGGTATCTTCTGGTAACATTTTGCCAATATTCATATTCTGATCTTCGATTGATAAATTATCCATATCGTTTTGAACATAAGATGTACGGTTTTTTATCCATTGAGAACTTTCTTCTAAATAAAGCTGTCGTTTAATGTATAGTTCTTGACCATAACTTATTGGATTTTCAACGTTATTAAAGTATATTTTATTTTTTGGTAAGTGGTCACATCCTATTGAGAACCAACATTTAAATGTAGTTTCTTTATTTATTACTGAAGTTACAGTGATATCTCCACCATGGCATGTAATAAGTTCTTTGACGAGTGCTAGCCCTATTCCAGTACCTTTATGACTACGCGAACACCGAGATTCTATATGATAAAAACGTTGAAATATATTTGGAAGGGCTGATTCTGGGATACCAATTCCTGAATTGAACGAGAATAGTAATAATTGTAAATTCTTATTAGTTTAATAAGTCATCAAGGAATTGTTTATTAACCTGTATCAGACACTTCGACAACTATCATCTTTTTCTTGTCTTTATAGTCAGGATATAAACGAATAGTAATGCGCCCATTCCAAGTATGCTTTAATGCATTCGAACCTTAAATAAAAAAAAATGTTTTAGTCGTATGTTTTAATGAATTAATTTTGTACAGTAAAAAAAATTTTATATACATATATATTTTTATATATGAATATTATTGTTATTATTATTATCAGAAAATGCTTACAAAGATTAAATACAATTGTTTCATATATATTATAATCCAAATAAATCTTGTTTCCTACAACATCATCGTGTTGTGGAATATCAATAATATAATCCAAAGCTAATGATTTGGCCATATTTTTAAAATCAGAAGCCAATTCTCGAGTAAATTCAGTTATGTTTGTTTCACAATAACATGTTTCTAATTCATTAGATTCTATATTTGAAAACTGAATAAAATGAATATTTTTAATGGTCGTTGTAGTTCTGAAATTTACTACAAGTATTTTTATTATTTGAGCTTATCGTTGTTAAAAATTTTAATATATAACTTACTTGTAACAAAGTGTTAATAAGCTTAAGCAATCGACGAGCATTACGTCGTATAATTTGAAGATGAGACATTATTGGCGCATCTTGTGAACATGTATTAATTATGTCATCAAGTGGTGAAAGCATTAAAGTTAACGGTTATTTCTATTATTGCAATACTTCTAAAAAAGGTTAATACTTTATGATAAAATACTCTTTATTTAATGGCTGATGCCTTGAAAAAATGCAACTTTTTGGTGATTTAAATCAGCCAATGCTTTAGATCGCTTCTTTTTCTCTTCAATTGATCTCGCACGTAATAAACATGTATTCATATGATTTGTGACTAACTAACAAATTTTAACATAATTTTATTTAAATATTTTTTAATAAATAAAGGTTAATCAAGGAAACTTTTGCATACTTTTAGAAACTCCATATACTGCTCATCAAGTTTACGACGTCGATTAATACCACAAACCAATATAGAGGATAAAACATGGCCCCTGCCAAGAGAAATTTTTGCCAATAAAAATACAGCCTGAGATCCGTCTTTCAAAAGAACTTTTACATGATCACCTTCCTTTATTAAAAGGTACATTGGCCATGAATCACAATCTAAGAACGAATAAGTTACAGCATCTTGGTTTAATCCAGAATGTTTATTGTAGCTCCTATTAACGTCTTTAGTTAATTATTTCGGGGGTTTCAGGTAAATAATCAGGTAAAAGCCATCCTTTTTCATTATTATAATCAAAAGTTGTAGCAATTAGACGAGCAATCAGAGGTTCAACAGTAGTAT